AAAGTGCTCTTTCATGCTTGCTTTGTGTTAAAGCAACCAGAGTGAAAACTTCAACTCATTTCCAGAGCACTTGAGGATGCAACAAAAGAGCAACAGCTCATCTATGATGCAGCACTTGCTTGTAGACACCAGACATATCCCAATAACTGTGCATGACGGTATTTCTGCACCATCTCCAATTCTAACATCAAAGTCCATGGACTGCCCTAACCCCCCTGTCTATTATCCAAAAAGTGCTAATTCCTGGTGACGATCACAGCAAAATGCCACTCCCAGAAACAGGGCTACAAATTCAGGACTACACCCTGGACAGGTCACCAATTGATCAGACAGTGCACACACACTGGGACGGCCAAGGGGCTCCAATTAAAATGGTCAGCATGTCAAACCACAAGACACCTCTACAAGGAAAGGCAATGCTGTGTCTCCTTCTGGGAGACACTGCGTTAACAGCAGTGTCTCCCAGAAAGGGGGCAGGTCTCCTCTCCCAATGGTTATAAAGGCACAGAGGTCACAAGCCAGTGAAGGCAACAGCAGAGGAAGGAAACATGTCCCTTAACATGCACAGCTTTCATTTCTCAAACTTTACAAATGTTTAAGACCACTGAGCATCTGTCCAAATACTCAATACAATAGGGGCCTAACTTAACTATTTACAAAGGAACACTTTCAATTTAGCTGCCTGGTAAATATTTCATTGCTCACTGTGTTCCTATTGTTAGTCCGTTACTATTGTCTGTCAGTGAAAGAAAAGCAGATAGTTTTGCAATGTAGCGCACACTCAATTGCAAAATTACTAGGCTTCTTCCTATTGCTAATGAAAATGAACCACATTGCTCAGGAGCAGTATATGCGCTGAGCTCACAGGAAGACCCCGCTCAGAATACTAAGCAACTACCTCTTTTATAACCAGCCCTGCATATGTTTAAATGATCAGTTGCCAAAAAAAACCAAAACATGAATTCACAAAAACAGGAAGATTTTGCGAGCAGGACAACACGTTCACCGCTATTCCTGGGCGAGAACAGAAATGCTCTTCAGGAGCAGAAGGGGTGGCTGGCTGAGCTGCTTCACAAAGCCGGGATCGGGTTACACCGTGGGACGGGCTGGGGAGGGCGGGACCCCTGTTTATTTTGGAGAGCAAGCCCGGGACATGCTCGGCGTGCGCTGCATGTAAACACACATTCCCATCCAGGTGCCGCGCCCCTCTCAAGCAGAGACGTCCCTTCTGGAGCGCTTTCTCGCCACTGACAGGCATGCAAAGCAGTTTTCCCCCCCGATTTAAACTCTGTGGTGAGAATCGCACAAAAGGTCCAGTGGGCACTCAAGACAGCCCCAGCGCCTCCTTCGCCTTGCCAGCAGGAGCGGATCGAAAGGGCTGTTCACGGAGCACCACCGAGCTGGAAAAAGCCGTGCTCTGAACACTGCACTCACTCACAACACAGCCTGAGGGACAGCGACTGGCACCATGACCACTGACCGATATGTCTGCCACCTCTGAGGCTGTGGTCAGGGACCGTGCTGTCCCCTCCACCCCTGCAGTCAGGGAGCGCGCTGTCCCCTTCATCACTGAGGAGTGATGGACGGTGCTGGGGTCAGGGACGGAGCTGAGGCTAGTGGTCAGGGATGGCACTGTGCCCTCCACCCCTGTGGCCACAGGTCAGGGAGCGCGCTGTCCCCTTCATCACTGAGGCATGATGGACAGTACTGGAGTCAGAGACGGCACTGTCCCCTTCATCACTGAGGCATGATGGACAGTGCTGGAGTCAGGGACGGCACTGTCCCCTCCACCCGTGGCCACAGGTCAGAGACGGCACTGTCCCCTTCATCACTGAGGCATGATGGACAGTGCTGGAGTCAGGGACGGCACTGTCCCCTCCACCCGTGGCCACAGGTCAGAGACAGCACTGTCCCCTTCATCACTGAGGCGTGAAGGACAGTGCTGGAGTCAGGGACGGCACTGTCTCCTTAATCACAGGCGTGATGGACAGCGCTGGGGTTAAGGACAGCGCTGTCCCCTCCACCCCTGAGGCATGATGGGCAGCACTGTCTGCTGTACCAGTGAGGGACAAGGGACAAGAGCAAACGGCACACAGACAGTCCTCCTCTTGTGCCTCGCTCCCTCATGCAAAGACTTCAGGAGCTTCTTGATCCAGCCCAGACTGCATGTTATAAAGAAGGGCGATCCCACCGGCGGCCGCTCGCACAAGCACGCTAATCGATATTCCTGAAAAGCTGGCTGAGCCTCCTCGACGCTGCCTCTTATAGAAGAGAAGACTCTTGCAGCAGACATCCGACGAAAAGCAGAGCTTTTTATTTCAGCTGCTGCAAACCTTTCTGCCTGCAGACCAAAGCATGTAACATAAAATAGCAAATGTTTCAATGAACACAAACTGATTTTTTCTCCAATATTGTCCATGCTTCTGTTAGTGTGGCCTTCCTCTAAAACAGCAGGCCTTTTCTCTTTCAGACAGTCCAAGTCTTAACTCCAGCTAATCCTCAATCATCCAAGTGATCATTAGCACCTCGTTAGGTTAATTAAGCAATTAAGGATCAAAACTAATGTACTGGATGGAATGAAATCCTGTAATACAATGGACAGCTTTTAAACTAATTTATCTGCGTCTCCCAGCTCTTTGGCTTTGAAGAGGCCTAGAACATCTGCCGACACAGCGCCCCCTCCAGGATCAGGACTACCCCCTCCGCCATTAATGGCTAGCAAGCTAGAGGAGCTGTTTGGCACATGTGGCACATAGGTAGCAGCCATATCACCCTGCAACTCCCAACTAGCAGCCCACTGGAACTCAGCAGGTGTCAGTACCTGGATTGGAGACTCCTGGGAAAAACTAAGTTTGCTGCTGGAAGAGGTGTTAATGGGGCCAACAGGGGGCGCTCACCCTGTGGTCCATGTGGGTCCTAATGCCCCAGTATAGTGATGGGGACACTGCACTGTAAAAAGAAAAGGCGCCGTCCTTCGGATGAGACGTAAAACTAAGGTCCTGTCTCTCTGTATTCATTAAAAATTAATTCTGTTTCTCGAAAAGAGTACGGGTGTTACCTGGCGCCCAGGCAAAAGTTCCCAGTGGCCTTTACCAATGATGGCCTCCTAAAAATCCCCATCTCTGAACTGGCTTCATCACTCTGGTCTCCTCCCCACTGAGAGCCGGTGTGTGGGGAGCGTACTGGTGCACTCTGGCTACTGTCGCATCATCCAGGTGGGGGTACACACTGGTGGTGGTGGAGGGGATCCCCATTACCTGTAAAGCGCTTTGAGTGCAGTGTCCAGAAAAGTGCTATTGACGTGTAAGCAATTATTATTATTACATCTGACCTATTTGGTATACCAAATAATTGATCCCAGGATCTCATTCCGCCGTCTTGAAGGAAGCCAGGATATTGGCTTCAACAGCACGGATGGGCAGCTTGTTCCACACCCCCACCACTGTTTGTGTAAAGAAGAGCCTTTGTTTAAAATGCACTTCCATACGGTTTCTGCCTGTGTAATGTTGCAATGCACAGCAGGACAGGTGTTCGGGTTCTGCCTTTCAACAGTTCTCCAGAACCTTCAAGCAAGTGACACGGACTGGGTCGTCACTCAGATAGCTGCTCAAAACGCTGCTTAAAATATTCAAAACAACTGGCAAATACTTACTACAGTCATAAAACTCAATGTGCTGATTTGACATACTTGCTATAACAACTCATACACGGAATGCTTAAGTCCGCAGGACAAAAATGTAAACGTTAATTCTCATTCCTTGTACCCAGATCAAGTGAGTAGAATTAAAATATTACTGAACAAACGGGGATATGTCACGTTTTCTGTTGTTCTTGCCTGTAACCACCCTGACAAATCTTATTTAGTCATTAAAACAGCTAGAATCTAAAAATATCCGCTTTTAAACAACTTTCTGAGTGCGGGACCGACTTAGACACGCGGTACTTTTAACGAGGAGGATTAAAAGCACTTACTATGCGAATGCACTTCTCACTATTTTATTAATCTAAAAATGCACTTATATTTTAAAATTCAATTGACGAGCAAGGCCAATTATTGCACTGGATCGACAGGTTCAGAAAGTTCCACAGGACACCTCTGCTGCAAAGCCTACGCTTCTCCGGGCGGCGGCTTCTGAACAATGCTGGAAACGACACCGACTCTCTCCCGGCTCGACCGAACTCGCCCGGGGCTCGGTTCCGTGAGGAGACCGTACAGGTAAGTGCAGGAGAAGCGCAACTAAACTGCAGCCGGGTGTCCTCCGGCCAGCGAGCGGGGCAGCTCTCCGGGCGCACACTGTGCGATCCAGTCACATCCACACCCCCTTACGGAACAGGCTGAGGGAAGGAGGGAGGGAGAGGCGTCAAAGTTGCTGTGAAGAAAGTACTGGAAGGTGCGCGAACCAGACTCCCCTCGCAACCGAGCGGACCCCCCGCCACGGCCAGTTTTCTTTTTTTAAATTATTTTGACATAGTCGTGGTTTGCGGGAAGAACAAGAAAACAGCGCACGTCAAGACCAGACGAGCCTTCGGGCGACACGAGTGTGTTACTCAACGGTCATCCAGCGCGGACTGGCACCGCGTCGGCACCGGCCCTTTCACGACCCGTTTCCGATCGAAACCTCACGACAAGCGCCCGCCAGGCTCTGCCCTGCGCCCTTCTTCTTCTCCCCTGCACTACTGCCCTCTTACCCCCCCACCGCGACCAGAGTAGGGGAACAAATAAATAAATACAACCCCAAGTCACTGACTGGCTCGGAAACTCTCCGGGGCGCTCAGCTCGTCCACAAGGTCACCAGAGAACCAGCGACACGCATGTCGGCGCCCACGGGACGGGGGCTCAGCGGCGCTAAGGGCTCGAGTAGCCCGTGGAAAAGCCATGAAGGCACGCAACTGCGCAAAACCGCCTGCCCCCGACACACGGCACCGCCACCCGGAGCGCTGCCAGCGGGCCAGCGGGCCAGCGCAGGCTGCTGACAGCGGCGATCGTGCTCGGCGCTTACCCCAGAATCCCTTCGGAGTAGTTCCTCGTCTTCCACGGCGTCCCAGTGTAGCCGCCGCCGCCGCCGCCTCCTCCTGCCACCCCGTTGCCCCCGGAGCCCGGGAGCAGCAGGCTGCTGTTGAACCCGAAGGTGCTCGCCTTGTTGTCCCGCTTCCTCTTGTTGCGCAGGTCCGAGCCCCCTCTCCAGCCCCCGGCGCCCCCTCCGCCCCCCCCTCCGGCCCCGCCGCCCCTCCCCGCTGGCCGGTTGTTGTTGGTCTCCAAGGGTAAAAAGTCCCGCTGCTGCCCGATCTCACCCTCCGGCCTGGCGTTAGACATGCCAGGGCTCCTGCCCTCGCTGGGAGCCCCGCTCTTCGCCGAGCTGGCGTCGGCCGTCCCCCCGCTGCTGCTGCCGCTGCTGTAGTTGTTGTTGAAGTACAGGTTGCTCAGACCCTGCGTCGTCTCCCAGATCTGCATCCACAAGCTGTTGGCAGGTCCGAGCTGTTCTGGCTGAAACCAGGCGATTCTCGGATCCATCAAACGCTAGTGGGCACGACACGCACCGTGCCTGCCCCGAGCGAGGCTCAGACCGTACGCGTGTGCGGCGCAGCAAGGCTGGCTCCTCGCAGTGCGATGTTATTATAAATATCACCCCTTAAATAAGAATCCTTTTAAAATCGGAGAACAAAAAACGGAAGGAGACAGGAAGCACGAAATATTTAAAAACAAAAAAACCCTCCAACTATGACAAAAGTTCAGTTTTGACAGCAAGAAGAAGGAGATCCCAGATCACGGCGGCGCACAACCCTCGCCTGTCGCTGTTCGTCTGACCCCTCTCTCTCTCCGGGTCCCTCAATGGCGGCCAGCGCGGCCCACTGCGCAGCCGCGCCGCGGAGGGGGCGGGGACAGCCCGCTGTGACGCCATCGCGCGTCAACATTTTTGTCTTGTTACGTAACAGTAACAAATCAGTCTTGGAAACAAGGTGTCGACTCAAGAATCAACTGTTTACACCCTGTTAGGGTGCTCACCATCCCCGATTTGGAAAATTACGTTCTTTCCAATGAGCCTCGATGGAGTCGATGGAGAGGTTTATGCGTACAGATTTTTTTTTCTATTTTGACGTCCCCTGTCCTCTCATTTCACCTCCTGCCGGACTGCAGCCTGCTTCACCCCCCTGCCCGTGTCCAGTACGCTCTCCTGTCCTCCCTGCCCATCTCAGGACCTTCTTCAGAAGGGCTTTTACTAAACTGATTTGCATGTTACACCACACTCTTTTTCTTTTATGTTGTACTTTTTATCTCCTATCATAGTTCTTTCCCCTTACTTTAAAGGGTCTTGAGAAGCTTATAAAGACACTATACAAAATGAAGTGTATTATTACTATCATTTTTATTACTATGTCCCACTGGTCTGCAGCCTCCCCTGTCTCCAATACTCCAGTCCTCCTTGACCATGTCCAGCTCTTCACTCTTGTGCTGCTCACTCCTCTCTCCTGCCCTCTATCGGTGGAACCAGGTACTCAGAGACATCAGGGCAGTGGCAGACTGTATATGCCCACATTTCCTCAGCTCCTTCAGACACCTGTCACCTGGACACCTGTGATATGTACCCAGTTTTATCTCCTTTAACTCCTTTAACTATAATTCAGTACTTAGAAGTTGAGGATGACACAACATTTTAGATTAAGAAATGCAAGTGCTGAAATAAACAGATACCCCTTTCGGCACGGGATTTACGAAGGCTGTGTAACCAGAAAGAGCAGATTAATTTGAAAGATTAATAATAATAATAATAATAATAATAATAATAATAATTTCTTACACTTATATAGCGCTTTTCTGGACACTCCACTCAAAGCGCTTTACAGGTAATGGGGATCCCCTCCACCACCACCAGTGTGCAGCCCCACCTGGATGATGCGACGGCAGCCATAGTGTGCCAGAACGCTCCCCACACATCAGCTCTCAGTGGGGAGGAGAGCAGAGTAATGTAGTCAATTCATAGAGGGGGATTATTAGGAGGCCATGATTGGTAAGGGCCAATGGGAAATTTGGCCAGGACGCCGGGGTTACACCCCTACTCTTTTCGAGAAACGCTCTGGAATTTTTAATGACCACAGAGAGTCAGGACCTCGGTTTTACGTCTCATCCGAAGGACGGCGCCTGTTTACAGTATAGTGTCCCCGTCACTATACTGGGGCATTAGGACCCACATGGACCGCAGGATGAGAATGATAATTGTTTTTTTTTTATCTAGAGTCTGCAGTGTCTCTGGCTGTTCTTCTATTTGGAGACACACAGGAGAAGTGAAACAAGGCTCAATGAGCCCTTGGCCTGCTGTTCCATTGCACCTCTCTGGTATTTCCTCAGAACAACTGTTTAAAAACACATTTAACATTTGCAGCGTAGCGCCTTTCCATCACCTTCAGTAACCGCAGTACGCAGGTAAGAGAAACCTGAATGGGAGAAGAGCAGTGAAGTGCCTCTCTTTTCCAGCCTCTTCAGCCCTATGGCTCCTCCTACACACAGTGCAGCTGGCAGCTGTCGCTCCCTGCAAGACTGCTTTCAGTTTTCAGTCATCTGTGCTGGAAGGCGGGTCCGAAAAAGGAATCACTAATGGGAGGCAAGCGGCTTTCTTGCTACCACAATAACAGCACTAACAAAAGGGACACAAGACATTTTTCGCATTCAGGACATACCTGTTTAAATGCCTGTCCGTGTGACGAAGTCTTCCTTGTTCTCCTCCTTCTGCTTCCCCGTCTCGTAGGCTGCGAGGAGGTGCACGGAGCTGGCTCCCCTCTCACGTCAGCCTTGGCCAAACTAGCCCAACGTTCGCCCCATTTAACAAAGGGGGTCCCCGGACCCCTCACCTGCTGTTCTTCATTCCCGGTGAGCTCCTTAACTTAACCAAATTCTTAACTGAGCCGACACTGAGATTGGAATCAAGTTTTTCCTCCTCAGATCCCCCCGATCCCGGAGATCCTACATTTCAATTGTGGGACGCAATCGTAGAGGGGCACCTTCCAAAACGTTCAGGAACTGAGAACCATTAAAAAAGGCTCAGCTGAATCCTACGATGAGGCAAATTAAGGGTTCGAGCACGTGAAGGAGAGCCGAGCGGAATGAAAACCCAGGTGCGTGGGCGTCCACGAGCCTGAATTAACACTCAGCTCTTGCACGGCTCGCACGTGGCGGGTGCGTGTCTTTCCTGGACTATAAACACCCTGCATGGAGGAGTGGAAAATTATTCGCTCGACATTCCTCCCCGACTCCCCCTTACCTGCTCTGACATCGCCTACATGTCATCCATGGTGTGCGAAAAATGAAGAATAACCTCTCATTTCGCTAACAACAATAAAGCAATTAAAGTCCTGGGCTGTTTACGAGTGAAACACTATACCCTCAGAGACTGGGCTTGGTTTATCTCCAGACTGTACAGACTTTGAACTTTTAAGATTATAAACATTGAAGGTGTAATGGTGTGATTTACACTTGCTAGATTACATACATATTTTTACAACATGTTGATATAGATATTTACTTTTACTGAGCTGATAAAGAATATCCAGAAATACAAGATAACTTTTTGCTCAAAGGCATTATTCAGGTAGACTTCAGGAGTGGTTTACAGCAACTGTATGCAGAAACTGACTTAGCTTTGCCATTCTGATGAGCATCTTAAACGGGGTAGTTACTCCCAAATAGAAGAGGTATCTGTGAGGAACTGGGACTGAGAGTTGAACATTTACAGACAAGTGCAGTTAGAAAGAACCGATTATAAAATCTTTTACTAATATTAATAAACACAGATTCGCACTAATTTGTGAATTTGCCAAACCTAAAACACTGTATCAAGAGCTCAAATGGAACTGGCTCATCTTCCTCATTAGCCCAGTGATTTCCTCACCCCCACCACAGGACAGCAGTAAGCCCTGAGTTACCTGCTTACTGGCAGTGTTCGTCTGTGCCAAAGAGCAGGACACCTCCTGCTACCCGGACACCACCCTTTTATCAGTGCAAAACCAGAACAGAAAGGAGCACACAACCTTCCCCTTAAACATTTTTCACCCAGTTCAAGAAGAACCTGCGTAAGGAGAGAAGGATGTGGAGCGGGTCTTCAGTACGGTGAGCAAACCAGAACCTCGAAAATATCACACCAAAAAGAGCTAAAATATAAATACATGAAACACGTAGAGAACCCAGCTGATGGCACAGCCCAGACACTACAGATACTAGACAACAGAAAAGCCACCAGCCACATCTGCCACCAGTATGAAGCCCAGTGAGACAGCAAACCCATATTATAATAAAGCCCTACGTCGTGAAATTCCTGGCTAGCAGGGATGCGTGTCCAGTCTTGAAAAACTGTAAGACTTCAAGCCCAAGTGTGCCACACTACTGATCATTAAACGAAGAATTCATCATTTTAAAAACACTTTCAGAATTGCGTTATAACTTAAAAACGGCGTCATTTTATTCAGAATTGCATTGTATAGCAAAGGAAGTTTTATTTAAATGGTAATACAGTATTGCAACCATCCCTTGTGTTTTTTTTTTTTTCCCTTACATTCTGTGATCAACAAAGCGATCCATGGTGAAAAAACAGGACCGGTACACTTTCTAGAAAGAAGAAAAAACAAACCAACAAAATTTAAATATGGATTTCATTCTCAAGCACCTTGTGTGGCGCAAAGGGCTTTTGCCAACACTCCGGTCTTCCACACAGGTCCTCTGGTGTGGTGGAAGGAGCTATTCCCCAAATTCCCAAAGCTCCAGTCTTTCCTACGGCTCCTCCATCAGAGTCAGTTGGGGTGCACAGACCCCGACTCCCTCTCTCGAAGCAGCAGTCAGTGCTAAGAAGCGCAGTTTTTCTCCAAGCTCTCCTGGTACCTGATGAAGCGGCGGAGGTTGATCTTGATGTTATCCAGCACGCACAGCTGGTCCGGGCTGCAGCTCCCCTTGCCTTCTTTCCTCAGCTGGAAGAGAGGAGGGGAAAAACAGAGCGTCACTGGCAGGGACTGCTGGACCAGGTAAAGAACAGGGCTCTGCCCACAGACAAGGCGATGGCTGATGTGGTATTCAAGAAGGACGAACGCTGAAAGAAGCAGCTAGCGATTTAACTGGGAGAACTGCTGAGGTCCGAGATTTACAGGAGATGCTTAAAAGGAAAACTTGTCCAATGTAGCTTCTTGCAGAGAAACCTTTTGGTTTCGTGAACAGACCTTTTACTGATATTCAAACTCAGGATCAGCTGGACTGGGCCAGACATCTCCACTGCAAAGTCATCGTCCTCTGTGATTGTTTAAGTGACCTGCAGCAACAGGATCAGCCTGGTCTCTTAAGGCCCAGTGAGCTAGCTAATGCCCTGGCTGGACGGGCGTCCTGCCGAGCCCAGCTGGGGAGGTGGAAATACTGCGTGTTCGCGTGTCGGACCTTGGCCTTGAAGACAGGCTGCAGGGCGCTCAGAGCAGGCAGCAGCCGGATCTCCTTGGCGGCGCGTTCCGCCTCCGGCCCGTCCGCGAACACGTCGAACAGGGCGTCCAGGGCCTCCCCGCACACCACCAGACTGGGGTCCTTCGACGCGACTTGCAGGAGGAAGTTCCCGATCATCTGCAGAGTCAGGCACAACAGAACATACAGTGGCATTGGCTCTAGGCTGGGCTCAGTCCTGGAGCACAGACCAGATTCATCACAGACGTGCACTGAACACTTTCTAGAGATATCATCTTCACATCTTGTTCTTTTACATAAAGAAGATGTCCCACTGAAATTAATTGCCGTGTTCTCATGAAAAGTGCTGTGAGATCTATG